CTTACATTGGGTTCAATGGGTTTATTATGTATCCCTTACTTTATCTGGCGTATTATGTCGTGCTTTGTGTAGACGAAGCAAAACAGCTTATTTGTTGCGGTTTCCGATGATAACGTTAACATGAAAGGTTGCTCAAACAAACTCTAAAAGGGTTTTGATGATGAGAATAAACACAACACATCTAACCTGCTCCAAGATCTTTAATTGGGCAACGAGGACTGAAGTTTCATAGTCAGTGTAAACGTAAACCTGGGGTTGTATTTATTTTAAACAAGCAATACTTTTAGACAAAACATATGGACTAGATGTGTGAAGGCTAAAGTTATGAGAAAGAAGTTTAAATGAAACAAAAGATACAAGACAAGAATGAAGAAGTGAAAGTAGGAGATGAAATAATATGCAGAAGAGAGGGAGGAGGTTTGACTGGAATTCCCCTGTAGTCACATACTGTACCAGGGCGGTAAATACTACATACCTGACAGCTGCACTGTGATACACACACACACACACACACACACACACACACACACACACACACACACACACATATCCATACATCATATGAATACTATGTGATTGTGTGTGAGTACGCTGAGCCCAGCCCATATGTGAGTCTGTTGTCATTGACTGGCTGCTAATGGATAACAGATGAGACTGTTAGCTGTGTGTGTGTGTGTGTGTGTGTGTGTGTGTGTGTGTGTGTGTGTGTGTGTGTGTGTGTGTGTGTGTGTGTGTGTGTGTGTGTGTGTGTGTGTGTGTGTGTGTGTGTGTGTGTGTGTGTGTGTGTGTGTGTGTGGTGTGTGTGTGTGTGTGTGTGTGTGTGTGTGTGTGTGTGTGTGTGTGTGTGTGTGTGTGTGTGTGTGTGTGTGTGTGTGTGTGTGTGTGTGCGTGCGTGTGTGCGAAGGGCGTGGACACTTTTCAGAGTATGATTAGCTCTGGGACCTCGAGCCAAGTGCTAACATTATGCAACATCTGAGCTGACCATCATATAGTGTAACGTGTGTGTGTGTGTGTGTGTGTGTGTGTCTCCTTTTATCACCATCATCTGTTCCTGGATGCATCTGCACTGCACATGCTCAGATGTTATGATGTCATTCGAACAGGACGCTGTCCCCTCCTTGGAAACAAAGTCAAACGCTGACGACCGTCTCAGAACCTCGCCCAGTGTTCAGAGATCTGATGGTTCTGGTTTCTCTGGGTCTTACTGGGCTCACTGGAGTTGTCACTGCTCTGATGGATGCTCAGCTGTGCTTACTGGTTATCATTATATTAGTTAAAGTGGTGTCTTTGGTTGAACCGTTTCCTACAAAACTCAATTCCAATACAAACAGCTTCATCAATTACGTCTTACTGTTTTAAACACGATGTAAACTGAAGGCTGAACAACAAAAAACACAACAAAACTGCTACTAAGATAGACAGAAAGGAAGATAGAAACATTTATAGAAACGTAGATAGATACGTAGGTAGATAGATAGACAGATACTGTACGTAGATACGTAGATTGACCAAACCACTAAGTATATTCATTAGACGAGTGTGCAAAGTAGTTGTTAGCAGGTCTTTGATGTAATTTAAAGGCTAGATAATTGATGGTATCATTTGTTTCATGTTTGGAGAAACTTTTTTTTGTATCTTGTGTTTAAATCATTTAATGTTAAAAAGTAGAATTTTTACTAATGGTTTCACACAGGACACTTGCTAATGTGTCTTTATTATTTTGCCACAAATGGGTTTAAATCGGAGTAACTATTACCTGCGTTTAATACAGATGGAGACAAAACGCCAGTATTAGACCAAACTGGTTTTACGGACACTGAGCTTCAATAGTTTTACTGTTTTTTGTTCACTGTCTACAGATCTTAGAGGAACCAGGAGAACATCTCTAAAGGAAAATGTTGGGAGAATACTGAATGTACTCTTCCAACATGAGAGTAACATGATAACAAAGGTATCCCAACTGTAGCTGTGAACATGACAGGATGTGTGATTAAGAGCATCAGGACTGTTTGAGGCATATGATAGCTATGTGATTAACATGATGATTCAGCCTCTATGGAGAGAGACATCAAGCATGCTCATTTCTGACGTGGAGCTAATCTGAAGTAAACATTGAATACTGCTTTCTATTCCTCCATCTTGTGACTGTGTAACTCCCTCTCTTGGATATCAGCATGTGAAGGACACTGTTCAGGAACTAGTTGATGCTCTGTATGTGATGACTACTTCCTTTCTGGAGAGGATCAGATATACATGGATCCTGAGATTGAAGATCAAGCCGGGGACCAGTGAGATTTTTCTAACAGAAATATTTCAACAGTTTGCTTTGTGTCAATGGACCAGGACTGAATGTCTCTTCAAGTAACAATAACAGGAAGTTAACCTCCAACATGGCGTCTCTGTAACCATCTGTGTCCAGTCAGAGTGGAGCCACATCACAATCCCTGATCAAATTACGTTTATGATTATTATCAAAAGGTGCAGATGTTGGTGTTAAGCCCTTGAATCTCATTTCCTCCCTGGCATTAACATGAGGTCTGTATCAGAATAAGGATAAACGTGGATGCAGGATGCAGTTTTAATGCGATCCATCCTGGTTTAGGATTTCCTCGTTCTGCAGGATCTGATTCACTTCAGTACAAGACCTTAGACAGGGGTACATACAGAGAGCAGTTCGGCCACATTATTTAGAAAGAGAAACCTTCGGACAAGCCTTTCCTCTCCAAAGAAATAGCATGTTCTTATAGAAACACTGCGACAAGCTGAGGGTAATGTGACTTCTTACATTAAAATAGACTTCTTTCAGCAACAATAGCTGATTGGTCAGAACTGTAGCTATCTCCAATTGCTGCTGCTAATTCCTGCATCACCTCCTCGGACAAATAATGTTTGTGTACAAGTTTGCATATGATAACATTGTGGCCAAAATTCCTTTAACTCCTTTAAGTACCAGGTGTTAATGCAATGGCCTGTGATCAGTTATCATTATCTATATCAAGTATTCAGATACAGAACACAGCTTGAAACCAGATCATTTCTATTTCTTATTGGGTTTTAAAAACAATCCAACAAACTATTGGTAATCTTTGTTGTTCTTTTTGAAGTGGATGGAGTTGACCTGCTTACTTTTTGCTTACTTTTTTACAAAAACTCTACTATCTACTTCACTGCATTTACTTCACTATATACAGTATATCAGACGGCTTAAGTTACAAGTTACTTTACAGATTAGAGTACGGCAAAGTTTAGGTCAATTTGAAGTGTTGAAGTAAAATGATTTACACTTTATGAAGATTTTACGTTTTCTTTTTATAATTGTAATATATAAACTGTTGACATACAGCGTTTCATCTTTTAACATAGAACAATTACATTCAGCTCTTTCTTCTACAGTGACCTTCCTGTGTCGCAGAGAAATGGAAACTGCCACATGGATGCACGCACGCTTGACATTTGAGAGTAAGTACCCCATAATAACTTAAAAAAGAAAAGTCAGCAGAATCCTGCAGATATTATTCTTCACACCAATAACAGATATTCTGAATTTGAAAACCTAGCTCCTGTGACTGAACACTTTCTGGACTTAAAGGTCTCCTATCATGCTATTTTTAGGCATATATTCTGGGTCTCAGATATATACAAATATATAAAAAACATGTCTATGATGTGTTTTGCTCAAAATACCAAACAGATCATGCATTTTAGAAATTCCTCATATCGCTCTATTTCAGCCCTGTTAGAGAAACGCTGATTCGGGGTCCTTAGCTTGAAAACAAGAAAAAAATAGGAGGTGGAGCTAATGCCTGCTCAGAATTACACGAGATACTCAGCTAAATTCTGCCGTGATTAAATGCCATATCATGTTCCAAACCACATCATGAATTACTTCTAAAACAGTATCGAGCTCTCTCAGATTCAGTGGCGGACTGGCCATCGGGACGTTCGGGACGAATTCCGATGGTCCGGTACTAGCGGTATTTTTCTAGCGGTACCGAAGTGGGCCGGTCGAGAGTCCCGGGCTGATTTTTAGTCCCAGTCCGCCCCTGGTCAGATTTACCACAAGGTGAGTTCCTTTTTTTATTTCCTGCTTTTTTACACATACTCTCTCCAGTACAGGTTAGCTCTGAGTGTTAGCGAGGCTTGCTAATGTAAACAAAGACCATATTACGTCCAAAACAGTCGGGCATTGTTTCTGATAGTGCCGTGGGTGTAAAGCCAGCCCACATTTTCGATATTACGTCATATCGGACGCATATCTGGATCAGCTCAGTTGTTCCCCCATTTTTAGAGATTTGGGTACAGGAAAACACTTGGTGAGTTCCCCGACACACCGGGGACACATGTTTATGTATGAAAGACATCAAAAAGTGCATTTTGCACGATAGGTCCCCTTTGAGGCTGAAGTTTAGTAAATATAGTCAGAGTAGTGACATGTATCCAGCTGGGAGGAGAGCAACATGACACTGGGACTCTAGACATCACCTCGCAAACCACAGTTCATTAAAAGAGACACAGAGAGGACGCTCCTCCTGTCTGGGAAACGTGTAGAAATAAATGATCGAACTGTAGAGATTAAAACATATTATTTACAGTTAGCTCAACACTTTTGGGAAAGACACTTTTTCTCGTTCTTTTTGAGACTGAGATATCAAACTAAAGTCTGTGCTGGAGTCAGGAGGGGTTAGCCTAGCTTAGCATCTTTATTTATTTATATAGCACATTTAAAACAACCTCAGTTGACCAAAGTGCTGTACAAATAACATAATAGCAGCATAAACACTTGAAACGTATGGACACAGCTAGCCTGGCTCTCTCCAAAGCACCTGCAGCTCCGAGGGCGTATTCTCATGTTTCAACTGGCTTTAAACTCTCCTCAAGGAATTTGAAAGTATATTTCATTGGAGGTAAAAGCTCAGTGACCGTCATGTTGCTGCAGAGCTGCAGTAAATCCCCTCCGACTGACTCACTGGAGGCTGAGCAGCAGATTGCATCAACACATGTTCAGAGAGCCAGGACCACAGGCTTTGTTTTAATAACACTTTCCAAAATCAAATGTTTGCATAGTGATGTTAACAAACTGAAGTGTGAAGTAGACCAAAACATGCAATAAGACACACAAGCATAGGCGGAGTTTGACATTTGCGCTAGGGGGGGCAAACATTGTTTACTAACGTCAGTACACAGTCCCAACTATTGCGTGGGGTGCTACGGATACAGTAGCAATAAAGCCAGCGTTCACCACACTGAGTATGACTTTTCCACATACGAACACAACTCGTCCCGTTATGCACGCCTCATGCCCGCCGTACACACACACACTCATGGAAGGGGCGGTCTCTCCCCCCAAAACAGTGCATTACATAACTGTACAACATATCATAACTGTGCACATCTTATACTTATTTGATAACTACTATATCCCTTGGTTACCAGTGTCCTACCTTGTTAAAATATTGATATACGAAATATTTGTATTGGAACAGTTTTCGACGTAGTAATGCTGTAACATATTTCAATCACTAGGGGGGGGGCAATGCACCCCCTGCCCCCCCGCAAAATCCGCCTATGCACACAAGGTGAACAGGTAGCACTAGAAATGTTAACATGCTGAGCTTGCAGGTGCAAACACTGAACTTTACATGTTGATATTTTGCTCTAGCAGATTGTGTGGAGGTTGCAGTTTAAATTGTAGTGTTCAAAGGAATCTGCGATGGAAATATCAACCCAGAACGGAAATGGAAAGCAGCAGAAATATAACTTGTCCTGGGAAACAGCTTGAAAGCAGAGTTTAGTTTAACGAAGGCTATAATAGAAATGGATGAAAAGGTTGCATGTTAAACAGAGGGATAGAAAATAGGGAGGCAGCTCAATATGTTTTAAAGTTTGGTCTTAACTCAAGTAAACATGCAGTTAGTCATCATGCAGTCACCAAAAACAGATCCAGAGACACACCCTGTGGGGGGGGGGTAGAAATGAGGGAGCTTTGGAATAAAGTAAGAAAGCAAAATAGACATGTAGGAGGAAAGAAGGAAAGAAAGAAGGAAGGAAAGAGCCAAGCAAGGAAGGAAAGAATGGGGAAAGGGCCTTGAGAAGTCAACTGAAGGAGCCTAGGAACAAAAAGAGGAAGGAAGGAAAATAGATCAGGAACCAAGGTAATTATGACCTTATATTAATATGACGTTTTCTTTGAGACTATTACGGTGAAATAAGAGGAGAAGGATGCTGACAATAGTTTAATTTTTTACATGAGAAGCTATCAAAAATAGAAATGTTTTTTGACTTTGTGCAATGAATGAATTTGAAATATGTTTTCCTTAATCTTTCATACCTTCTAACAATGGTGTTAACATGCGGCCTCCACCTGGCAGCGGCACACATTCACACATCTGCAGATACACACTTAGGACATATAAAACCCCCGTGTGTGTGCGCTGAGGCAGGAAATTGTAGATTTTTTCTAATTCAAACTTCGTGTTATTTTCACACATTTCTTAAGTATGAAAACAGCAGATACAGAGTCGTAATAAACAAATAAGAACATAACAAACCGAACAACTAACCACAACCTTTCTAATAAATAAAAAACTATATTTCACCTTCAGTTTAAATATCAGTTCTTGGATCACCTTCATCACGACAACAAAACTGTTTAGGAATGATTTGTTTTCTACCCAATCTGGTACTTCTACTCTTATGGTAAAAACACGTTTAATCAGATGGATATTTCATGGTAACATTTTCAAAAACATGGATAATGCTCGTACACCCTGAATAAGCTGTGTGTGTCTTTAGAATTTCAAACAAGAAATAGTCACCTAATGGAAAGCTTTTAAACGTTTTGTCTTTATAACTTGTATGTTCCCTAGAGCAGCTTCCTTCCTCTCATTTAAACTCACCAGCAGTAATGAGCTCTACTGTTTTTGGACGTAAACTGGTTTGTAAATAAAATGAAGTGCTTTTGTAAGCCGACCCTGAAGTTAGCATCTCTAGATTTTAGATTTTTGCAGAAATAAGATCTGTGGCAAACACACGGTTATGATACGTCCACGTTTCGTTCAGCAGAATCATCATTTGTGAAGCGTATATGAAATCCCCAGAAGTAAAAAGCAACTACATCACAATCACTTGGCTTCATGTCACCGACGCTAAGCTGAAGAAGAAGATTCAACTTATTGTCATTACGTAGTACAGGTAACGAAACGGTTTCTCTGCATTTGACCCATCCTAGTGTTAGGAGCAGTGGACTGCCATTATGTATGGCGCCCGGGGAGCCGTGTAGGGAACGGTGCCTTGCTCAGGGACACCTCGGTAGCACTTGACCTTCCAGTTGCCAAGCCAAGTCCCTATGGACTTCGCCACCACCGCCCTAAAGGCAGCTAATGGTTGCCATGTTGACATTTAGTTGTATCGACACTCATTAGAAACCGCTGATTTTTAAGATACGTTTGAGCTTCAGAAATCCCGTGGGATATTTTATGTCGTAGAACAACATTTCAGGCATCCAATCAAAAACACATTCGAAAACCCAAACTGAAAAACTGACACGTTGACTTTAAGTGTATTGTGTCAACAGATTTCACATAAGTGTATTAGGTTTAAAGCAATAATATCAAGTTGAACATAATGTTTTTCAATCAAACGTAATATTATTGCTTTCAACTAACCTAATACAGTTAAGTGAAATAATACATTTAATTAAAGTCAACGGTTCAGTTTCTTCAGTGGATTGACTTTGAGACACGGGAACCAGAAGAGCTAAAACGCTGACTTATCTCCTGGTTTAAGGACTCATTCCTGCACCACTCTATGGCTTTCCAACTTGTTTGTATTATTTAACTATTTTATCTGTTTTATTGTGTTGCACTGTTGGAGGAGCCTGTGACCTGAGATTTTCATTGTCATATCTACACTGTAGCTTTGTACAAATGACAATAAAAGCCTTGAATCTTGAATCCTCATAACTCCAGTACTCAAACACCACAGGGAATGTTGCTGTCTCTGTTCCCCTTGAAGCTGACATGTTGTACAAACACATTTTCACATTAACAACAAAAGCAAGAGGCACGCTGATCAAGTGTTACAGGAGGTCATGTGATCCAGGTGAGTGTCAGGTGTTATCAGTGAAGACTTGTCCCAGTATGGAGAGCCGGGCGCTGAACGGCTGAACGGGGCAGGACAGCAGAGGGGGGGTCTTCTTCTCGCCTGGTTTTAAAGCTATGCTCTCTGATGGTCCGTGGGGAGGGTCTTCAGTGTGTTTGGCGGCGGGCTTTGATCTGGTCTTCTTCTTCTCTTTGGGCAGGCTCAGCAGGATGTCTCTGAGCTCCTGGCGGTCCTGGGCGTGCCGGCTGCAGCAGTACAGCGCCGCCGGGTCCAGAGGGTGGGCTTCGGTGTTGAAGATGAACCCCCCTGCCCCTAAAACACACTGCCCGTCCTCGCCCCCCTCCTCCCAGGACCCGTCCCCCTCCGCTGCCCCGCCGTGCAGGAAGTGGGCGGGGTCAAAGAGCAGGTACAGGTACTTGATGGTTTCAGCGAGAAAGAAGGACTCCATCCTGTTGTCCAGCTGGTGATCCCGCAGGTCTTTCACCTGCACGGAGAATATCTCATTTTAACACCTTGAAACATGTATTTTGAAATATTTATGCTCTTGTTTTGACGTGTGTACACATATTTTAACACAGGGGTCATTTTGAATCGGTCCTCAGCTAATTCAGAAAGTATAATGCAATATGGCCCACAATTGAGCCTTGTGCTTGTTTTATATTGTACTTCTTAAATATACATGTCAAAATATATTACACAGTATTTGTGTGTTAATAAAAAAAAAAACACTTTCTAACAAATCTAAGTTGATGAGAAAAAGCCCAATAACGTATTTACATAACAAGCTTGGAATAGACCCTTCTTATTTCCTCTTATTATAGGCAATCTGAGGCTTCTGTTTTAAGGAATGAACTGCCAAACAAATAAATTGGAGAGCTGTGATTTAAGCAGTATTTTTCAATATTTATATTTGATTGATTTTGCTAACTTATAAGGCAATAAACCTCCAGTGAGTGGCCCAGCCCTTCCTATATTTTTCTGTATTTGACCCTCGGAGAGAAAAGTTTGGACACACCTGTTTAACACAAAAAGTACACCTAAGGGCCATTGTGTAGTATTTAGGAGGGTCTTCTAGCATAAAATGTATAATTGTATTTTTATGTTCATTTGTGTAAAATCACCTGAAATGAAGAACATTGTTTTGCTCCTTAAATGACCCCTTCATATCTACATTGGGAGTGGTTCCCCTTCCACGGCTCCTGCTTTGGTTCAACAGTAGCTCAACATTCTACTCACATGACCTTTTTGACGAAAAATGCATGTAAAACTGTGAAAATATGAGTTTCGTTGCTTGTTTGCTTCTCAAGTAGTAGGTAAGTAAGACTTGGTTTATAAAGCACCTTTTATGTAGACAAATGATAAATGATAGAATAATCACGTTTTGTTAACTATTTAAAAAGGTAGATTATCTGAACAATTATTGCAACATGACATTTGGTTCAAAGGACCAAAGAGGATGAACCGGAGTAACTTTGATTGCTCTGACTTTAATGTATGATCATATACTGTAGCTGCAGAACTAATGGCTTTCCCATCAGACTTAGCTTTGCTTTGTGTTTACTGCTAACGTTAGCATGCTAGCATGGAGGACATTGTAAGTGGATAGTAAATAGACTTTACTTATATAGCGCTTTATCCATTATTTACGACCCCTCGAAGCGCTTTACATACTACATGTCATTCACCTCATTCATACAGAGCAGTGCCACACACACACACACACACACACACACACACACACACACACACACACACACACACACACACACACACTCTCACACACACTTACACACACACACACACACACACACACACACACACACCATTGGCCATCAGGAGCAACTCAGGGTTCAGTATCTTGCCCAAGGACACATCGACATGTTGACTGCACGGCTGGGATTGAACCCACAACCTTCTAGTTCAAAGACGACCACACTCCCTCCCAGCCACAGTGCTAAACATTATACCTGATACAAACATCTGCATGTTTGCATTTCCATACAAGCATGCTATGTTGTAGTTTAGTTCTTATAACCTATAACCTCTAACAGATCTTACGCTGGCGTATCCGCAGGGCGTCCTGGTGATCTTCTCGATGGACTCCAGGGCGTCGAGGCCCAGCTGGAGGTAGGTGTGGTCGCCTGTCGCCCTGAACAGGTACATGGCGCTCTCTATCAGCTCTGAAACAAATGAAACACCACACACAAAATCTTACTGTAGTGTATATGTGTTTTAACAAGCAGGGAAAGTGTAGTGGTCGGCTGCTGCAGAGAGCAGAGTCTGCCATACTTTAAGGTTTAAGAAGAATTACACACCTGAAAACGTTTATTTTATACTTTTGCATCATTCAGCTTGAAGTTATATCTAGGTTATTTTTTTAATAAGTCTTAATAAAATGGAACCAAAATAGAGACGCTCGAACCCTGGAAGTCGAACAAACCCATTCAATCCCATTAAAACCAACATTGTTATAATATATATATACACTTTTTCACCAATGATTTTCCATGACTTCTCCATGACCTTTACCTAATTTTCCATGACCAAATAAATGACTCTTTCTCAGCGGTACCACTGAAAATGGTTTATTTTAACATGGAACAGGAAAATAAGGTCTTCATCTGAATCAAATAGTAGCTTACTAGCTTCCACACGCTAAAGTAACTAAAATCTCTCACCAGCAAAATACCTCGTCAGTTAAATGCCATTTTACGTTTCATTACTACAGGATACAGTATTTATTATCATTATAGTATTACTATTTCGGCGATTAGATCAAATATAAATTATATTTGATGCAACTTTAGTTAAATTTCCATGACTTTTCCAAAACTTTGGGAAAAAAAAAATTTTCCAGACCTTTTCCAGGGCCTGGAATTTGCATTTTGAATTTCCATGACTTTTCCAGGTTTTTAATGACCGTAATAATAACCCTGTTTAATGTAGAGCCATAGCTTCAACACTGTAGTTTCCACTACTCTCCACCAGACTGAGACATTTCTTATGTTTGCCCAAAGGTGCCAATACATGTTATTATCCTAGTTTCCACTAGGGGCATCGCTGCTGTATAATGTGTTTGATTCGATGCATCAAAATCAATGTTGTTGCAAATCATTGAAGACTTAATTAAATAATTAAGTGTTGTGGGGACATTATGTTAACAAACTAAAAGTCAAAAGGGTTACAACTTGTTTGATTGAATATTTCTGAGTTATTATCAGGACTGATGTTGGTTTTAAAGTAACTCAATAATATAATTATATACATTTATGGCTGTTGTTTGGCAATGGCAGTAACAGTTTTAAAGGTGTTAACATGTCTAATGATGTCTCTGTGTGCTGATTTTACACTCTTTATTTGCAGGTGATTGCAGGTAATAGGTGGGTGGTCTGACCTGGTCTCAGTGGGTATCCCTCTCTCTTGTCCACAGTGTAACCCTGAGGGATGCTGTAAAACTCCGGCAGACCTCCAAACTGTCTCCACACAGAGTAATAGTTCTGGAAAGTTCTCACTGCGCTGTCCAGGTTCCCCAGGAGAGACTGCAATCAATATGTATATGATTATGTAATAGCTGACATCTTCGTGGATTCATCTTCTTATTACAGACACATGCATTTCCTAACATTCGGTCTATATGCTGTAAAATGTATTCTCTCTTCGATTTACACACGGCATCTATTGCACGTCTGTCCGTCCTGGGAGAGGGATCCCTCCTCTGTTGCTCTCCCTGAGGTTTCTCCCATTTTTCCCTTTAAACTGTGGGTTTTCTCTGGAAGTGTTTCCTTGTACGATGTGAGGGTCTAAGGACAGAGGGTGTCGTTTTTCTCATACTGATATTCTGAAGAATCTGTGCTGTTGTATTTGCTGTAAAGTGTCTCTACTGTAGGTTATTTTTATTATATGTACAGCACTTTGGCTCGACCAAAAATCGTTTATAAATGTGCTATATAAATAAAACTTGATTTGATTTGATGTGTAACCCTATGTTAGGAAAGGATTGCATATGTTAGAAGTGAACTGTGTGTACCTGAAGACCGGGCCAGAAGGCCTCCAGAGACTGAAACACGGGCATGGAGACGGTCCCTTTGTGCATCTGGACCCACAGGTACCAGTCGTCAAACCGGGTGTAGTTCTGAATGGCTCGATCGTACTCTGAGAATACACATCACATGGATGTTAAAGGTCCCCTATATACTGTTTTTCCTCAATATATTACAGGTCTCAGATATATACAAAGCATGTCTCTGAAGTGCTCCAACAGATCATTGCAGCATTACCCATAATCCCCTCTGTTTCAGCCCTGTTTCAAAAGTGCTGATTCTCTGTCTGTTACTTCAGATGAAAATAAGGAGCCCCTCCCCTCTGAGAGAGATTTGGTTACAAAGAACTCAATGGTGCTCTAGTGGATTTTGCATAATAGGTGACCTTTAATTTAAATGTATTAAGCCATTGTTTTCCATTATTTGTCCATCTGTCTCACCCAGGAACATGTTGAGCAGCTCCTCGTCCTGCAGCAGGATGGCTCCTTTCACCAGATACTCAAAGTAGGAGTCCACCCCCGCTCCGATACCGGCGTCCTGAGCCACCCACTTCTTAGACAGGATGTCAATGTGGTTCCCCACCTGGACAGAGAGACAGACAGGTAGGAGGGACAGACAGGTGTCAGAAAAAGTCTTCAAATACTTTAGCTTTCTCCATTGAAACCTGTACTTCCACAGGTTTGTATTTTGATGGCTCTTATATGCTTTTCTGTACTGTTAACAGAATGTAAGCTAAAAAGCTGTTTTTATGCAAGATTTAGCTTCCATACTTTATTTAACCTCTCTTGAACTTAATGAGAGAACTCCGTAGAGATTTCAAATGTCTTTTTTTAAGTGAGTCCTGACCAAAAAAGGCTGCAGATTAAATAAAAACCCACAGTTACAAATACAAAATCAAGCATGAGGAAACCACATTCACCAGATTACCAGTACCTATTAAAATAATCATCATCGAAGGGGTCTGCCTTTTAAAATCTCTACGGAGTCCAGAACAAATTTCCTTACGGGGACAATAAAGTATATTGTATCGTAATTTGTTTCTTTTTTGTTTAAAAGCATTTAACAAGTTTCATTATTTCTGCAACATTTTCTATACAGATGTTGCACAACACACAAATGTCCCTTTTACCATTTCTGGTTTCTATTATTTGAGATGACAAGCATAGAGAAGTCCTGATAACGCAAAAAGAGCTGTTTCTGGTACTTTCCGTGCAAGGTTAAGACCCTAATAAAGTATGTGAGCAGAAGACCAAGAATTGCAATATATATGTAAACGTCATACATGTATACAGAGCTAAACCTCGCGGAAGTGAGTCAAAACATACTGAGCAGAGGAATGCATTAAAGGGGACCTATCATGCAAAATGCACGTTGATGTCTTTCATACATGAATGTGTGTCCCCGGTGTGTCAGGGAACTCACAAAGTGTAAGAAAACAAAACCCTCTCTCTTTTCCTCCGTACCCAAATCTCTAAGAACGGAGCTGATCCAGATTTGCGTCCGATATGACGTAATATCGGAAATGTGGACCCACGGCCCTATCAGAAAGTTGCTATCAGAAACAATGCCCGACTGTTTTGGATGTAATATGGTGTTTGTTTACATTAGCATCGCTAACACTCCGAGCTAACCTGTACTGGAGAGAGTATGTGTAAAAAAGCAGGAAATAAAAAAAGGAACTCACCTTGTGATAAACCCGCAAGAGAAAAAGCATTTGAGCTCCATACTGTTTCAGAAATAATCCTTGATGTGGTTTAGAACATGATATTGCGTTTTATCACGGGAGCATTTAACTGAGTATCTCGTAGAATTCTGAGCAGGCATTAGCTCCCCCTCCTCTTTTATTTTATTTTTTCAAGCTAAGGACCCTGAATCAGCGTTTCTCTAACAGGGCTGATACAGAGGGATATGAGGGATTTCTAAAATGCATGATCTGTTTGGTATTTTGAGCAAAACACATCATAGACATGTTTTTTATATATTTTTAATATATCTGAGACCCTATAAATATGGCTAAAAATAGCATGATAGGAGACCTTTAATATATTAATTTAAAAACGGGGAGGAAGACACATTTCTGCATCTGAAGTAAAAACAGACGCAGTTACCAGCCCGATGTCGGATCTGGTCTTCCACAGGGCCCTCAGGGCTTGTCGGGCTGCGTTCTCAAACGTTGGGTCTCCTGTTAGTCGGCTCAGCGTGGCGAACTCCAGGATGAAGGTTCCCACGCCGGCGGTGCAGGTGACCGGCGTCTCGGTGGGACTGACGCCCTTCAGCAGGTTCACCGTACCGTACGGCATGCCCGTGGGAGTCTGGAACGCTGAAATCATTCATAAATTAAAGGTCCCCTATTATGCAAAATGCACTTTCTCATGTCTCTTCTACATCAACATGTGTCCCCTCTTCTTCATGTCTCCTCTACATCAACATGTGTCCCCTCTTCTTCATGTCTCCTCTACATCAACATGTGTCCCCTCTTCTTCATGTCTCTTCTACATCAACATGTGTCCCCTCTTCTTCATGTCTCCTCTACATCAACATGTGTCCCCTCTTCTTCATGTCTCTTCTACATCAACATGTGTCCCCTCTTCTTCATGTCTCTTCGACATCAACATGTGTCCTCTCTTCTTCATGTCTCTTCTACATCAACATGTGTCCCCTCTTCTTCATGTCTCCGCTACATCAACATGTGTCCCCTCTTCTTCATGTCTCTTCTACATCAACATGTGTCCCCTCTTCCTCATGTCTCTTCTACATCAACATGTGTCCCCTCTTCTCCATGTCTCTTCTACATCAACATGTGTCCCCTCTTCTTCATGTCTCTTCTACATCAACATGTGTCCCCTCTTCTTCATGTCTCTTCTACATCAACATGTGTCCCCTCTTCTCCATGTCTCTTCTACATCAACATGTGTCCCCTCTTCTCCATGTCTCTTCTACATCAACATGTGTCCCCTCTTCTCCATGTCTCTTCTACATCAACATGTGTCCCCTCTTCTTCATGTCTCTTCTACATCAACATGTGTCCCCTCTTCTTCATGTCTCTTCTACATCAACATGTGTCCCCTCTTCTTCATGTCTCGTCTACATCAACATGTGTCCCCTCTTCTTCATGTCTCCTCTACATCAACATGTGTCCCCTCTTCTTCATGTCTCTTCTACATCAACATGTGTCCCCTCTTCTCCATGTATCTTCTACATCAACATGTGTCCCCTCTTCTCCATGTCTCTTCTACATCAACATGTGTCCCCTCTTCTCCATGTCTCTTCTACATCAACATGTGTCCCCTCTTCTCCATGTCTCTTCTACATCAACATGTGTCCCCTCTTCTTAATTTCTCTTCTACATCAACATGTGTCCCATCTTCTTCATGTCTCTTCTACATCAACATGTGTCCCCTCTTCTTCATGTCTCTTCTACATCAACATGTGTCCCCTCTTCTTCATGTCTCTTCTACATCAACATGTGTCCCCTCTTCTTCATGTCTCTTCTACATCAACATGTGTCCCCTCTTCTTCATGTCTCCTCTTCTTCATGTCTCTTCTACATCAACATGTGTCCCCTCTTCTTCATGTCTCTTCTACATCAACATGTGTCCCCTCTTCTTCATGTCTCCTCTTCTTCATGTCTCTTCTACATCAACATGTGTCCCCTCTGTGGAAAGAGACTCAAAGATTCTCTCTCTTTTTGTCCTGATCCATTTCTATAAAAACCTGTTTGAAAATGAGCTGATCAGATTTTGGCCACTTTATGATGTCATAACGATGTTTTGTCTTGGGTAACCATTAGCCAATCACCAACCAAGGTAACCCCCCCCACCACCTTATCCCCTGAATCTCCCCCTATAGCACCATTGAGTTCTTTGTAACCAAATCTCTCTCAG